ATTAATATATAGGATAGGATAGAGCCAATTTGGATCATCACCAAATGCATTTATGCATATTTATTATTATGATTATTATTATTATTATTATTATTATTTGTAGGATAGGATAGAGCCAATTAATTGTGTAATATATATATATATATATATAGTATATATTATTGAAATTATTATAGTAAAATAAAAATTGCAGTGTATGAAGTGTTTGAGCGGATGGCGTACTATGGGATATCCTCGAATCTGTTTATATATTTGACGAAAAGACTGCGTGAGGGCACAGTTGAGTCGGCCAATAATGTGACGAATTGGGTAGGCACTGTTTGGATGACCCCTGTTTTGGGAGCTTATGTTGCCGATGCCCTCTTGGGACGGTATTGGACTTTCCTCCTTGCTTCCGCTATCTATCTTTCGGTACGTGCGCACGTACTCCTTTTATCAATATAATTAAATAATATCAATAATTTATTCGTATGATAACATTAATTTTAACTAATATTCATTTATTCATATAATTTTAAGTTACTATCAATTTCAATTATTTTGGCTGGAAATGTGATATGTCAACAAGACCGTTGAGCTAGCATATTAACCTACACACACTTTTTTTTTTAAAAAAAGAGTTGGTAAACGGCACACAAGATTACTGTTGTTAAATGAAACGAGCTACTCAAGTTTGGTTCTGTTCGTTTGATATATGAGCCAAGCTTGAACTCATTTAAAGCTCGTTTCGTTAACAAGTCAGGTTTTGCTCAGCTCATAAGGCTCGAAAAAATGATTCTTATATAGTTTTTCATAGATCGGCTCGTTAAAGGTCGAGATCATCTGAAATTTGGCTCGTTAATATTGATAAATGAGATGAACTCGAGCTCAATTTTTCGCTCGTTTACTTAACGGGTAGAGTCAAACTCGATTCGTTTACAGGCCTACACAAGATACACTACATGGTATTTTTCTCTTTTACAGAATTCCTATCCAACTATGCCTACGACCAAGTTTATCGGTGACCCACCTCGTCACCAGCCATACGAAAAAAATGGGTGATTTTTTGTTAAAAAAATACAAAACTTCGTATATTTTTTGTTCTCTAGAAATAGTGATCATATTTGATATATTTTAGAATACAGTTGCAAATTCTCTCTTTTCACCATTTAAAAAAAAAAAAAAATCCTCCCTTATCAATTTTATCATTTTTTTACTTGTAATATAAAATATAAATTATTTGAAATAATTACGTCTTAATTATAGATTTCTTTTTCTTATTAATTTCTCACAACAACAAAAATAACAAAATTAATTGTAAATAACACTTAAGAAATAAATAAATAAAAATAAAGTAACTATTTTAGATTGTTGGGTAGCTAATAAACATTAAATTGGATTATTAAGTTAGGTTATGCAAGTAAATGAGAAAGAAATGATTTATGATTATTATATAAGTTGAGTTGATTTTGGTTAGGTTGCTGATAAAAGTAGGTGGGATCAGTCAAATGAATTTGGCATAACACACCTAATTAAATGCCAAGGCTGAAAACACGGAGGAGGCTTTGTATTTTTTTAGCATACCACACCTAACCTTAAACACGGAATCTATTACATATTTTATGAAGTGTTTTTGAAAATATTTAAATTAAATATAAGGGAACGTTACAGTCCCGTTATGAAATCATTCCGTTGAAATTTATAACCATCAGATCATCATGTAACCGTCGGAGATAGTTGATCTAACGGTTACAAAACTCCAACGGAATAGTTTCGCAACGAGACCGTAGCATCTCCCTTAAATATAATCCAGTCTCCAACTCACTCACCTAATTGGTGTTTTATTCTGCCTTGACCTGGTCAAACCCCCTTGACCTTGACCGGGTCTACTTGCGGGTTTGACCCGATTACTATATTTTTTATTTTAAAAATAAAACTATGTAAATGTATTTATTATGATACAATGTTATTAATAATTTGATGTACAATTATATACAAAATATTTATATATGTTACTTTTGATTAATAACTTAAATATACAATCACTATAAAAAAATGTCATATCTCAACGAAATTTCTTACGGTAATATATTTCAGTGAAAATTCCAACGGATATTCTAATGATATACCTTCCGTTGGAATGATTCAAATGAAATTCCAACGTAATTATTCCGTTGGAATGAGTTATCCGTTGAAATTTAGATGACATTGTATCATTCTAACGGGTATTATTCAACGTATTTTTTAAAGTATGAATTTCTATTGGAATTCACAATTTTCGTTGGAATTTTTATTTTCGCTCATTTATAACCGTTGCAATCATAAATTCAATGGAAATAAAAT